AAACCAGAAGCCCCTGCGCCCACCTAACCCTCAGCACTCAAAAACCACACGGCCTTTCCGCCGTGATCCCCAGGTGTGAGGACGGTTCAGGATACCTACCTCTATATTATTCACAAATGAATTGGCCTAGCCCGCAATGGCTAGCGCAAAAAGAAATTCATATTTATCCCCTCCAATTATCTTTACTTTACCGGATAAACCATTGATACCTAGTACTTGCTTGGATTCTAATCCTCAGACCACCTAAATCGTATACTAATCCCGAGTAATCGTATCATGTGTGGACATGTGTTACGACGGGCTACACAACTACCATTACATGACCAAGGCACGTGATTACAAGTGATCAGTAGTGATCATAGAAGCATGAAGGTCTATATAATCAAGATGGATTTCCTTTGTATAGAGCTTCGTGCTCAAGATCAATCATTTAGTATACCCTACCATTAGTTACGAATTGCATTATTGTCATTACTTTAAGTCCCTGTTTAACGCTTAGTTATAAACTACCTCAAGAGCCTAGAGCACTTCCACATGATCTAGACGGCAACCTCATAACAATGGAATGAACAAGTAATCTACAAACTTAATCTACGATTCCAATATACATACATATATATATATATTCGTCCATTTTATATCTTAAATCTTAAATTCTAATCTTATTAAAAAGAAAGAAAAAAAGAAAGAAAGACAGAAACAAAGAAAGAAAACATGGTATCACATACAGCTCATCCATTACCATACATAACCATATCCATCCATACCCCTTCTTTTCCATCCCCAGTTCCATACCAATCTATTATCACACAGCTCAACCATTATCACAACATAAAGCCTACTAGCTAGGTCCTACCAAGTAAATATCCACAAATTCACATAAACAAAACAACCTCCCCCCTATCATTCTTCTTCATTCTCAAACTCCTCCAAAGTTCCTTCTCCTCATCACCCTTTCCCAACGCCAATCCCGCCGCTACTCTCTCCCGATGATATCTCTTCAGTGCTTTATTCATCGATACACCTTTTTCACTATTAGGACCCTTGTTTACCATACTCATGAGAAGTTCTGCGCGAGGTTTATAAACTACCATTTGATTTTCGCCAGAAGTCTCTGCTGCGCCATTGATAGGTTTATATTCGAGCATCTTTTGTTTTTCAGTTGTCTTGTTGCCATGCTTGTGCTTGCGTTTCTTGGGTCGGTCTTCAGAGTGTTCGCGAGAAGGTTGACGTGTGGTGATTAAGGCCATAAAGTTACTTCCAAATCCATCATGACGTGTGCGTGCACGACTGGCTCGTTTGGATTCTTTTGTCTTTTTGGTTTTGGCACTAGGTGATTCTTTTTCTGCATCCGCACCCGAGTAATCTGGTGACGGAGGAAAGACTGAAGGACGAGAGAGAAGTTTGCCGAGTCCACCAGTCAATCCTGAATGTAGAACAGGTGGTGCATCATCCATTGGAACATCACCTTCTCGAGATGATAAATCATGAGTATCAACATGTAAACGTTTGCGCTTCTTATCTTTCTTATCCTTCTTCTCATCTTTCTTGTCCTTTTTCGATTTCCCTTCATGTTCTTTAGTTGGTTTCCATTCAATCGCTTTTGGAGCTGGTGTTTCGAAAGGTCCAGTGGTAGGTACCGGTCCAGAACCCCATTCGACGAGACTAGCAAGTGGACTTTCTGCTACATTTACTCGTACCAAATCCGTAGATGGTTTCTCCTCTGCTTCGGATACATCTGAATTGTCGCTCATTGATTCATCACGAACTTGTTGCTCGGATTCGATGTAACGCGTAGGCTCAGAATCATTCATGACCTGATCAGGGACCGGGAGTTGCAATTGCGATGCATTGGGTGTAGGATCAACGAGAAAATCGAAAACATTGACGGCTGCTGGTGGCGAAGGAGCTTTTGGTACAGAAGAAGCTGTAGCGAGTTGTGAATTATCGTATTCATCTTGCGCATCCTCGACATACGCTTTATGAACCGGAGTCGATTGAGAATTATTATGCGAATTATTCTTCTGATTATTTTGTTGTTTTCCCTTCTTTCCTTTCCCCTCTCCTCTGTAAAGAGCCCCTTGATATTTTTGCGCTTCGCTCATACAGCTCTTTTAATTGTTGTCAGCAAATGGTACCCCGCGTCGGAGTTCATATTTGTTTACATACAGTATGCGCGCGATATTCTAGACCTTGAAAATGTACCATGCAATCTAGACAAGTATATGAAGCGCCGCGACATTGATTTCGATGAGGATCGAGTTTTTTCTTCGTAAGGACATCTCCGCAATTCTGTATAAATGGGTTTTGTTAGACAAGACTTTTGAGTTACCATGGTCAATGTAGGTGTAGCGTGTATGTGCAGGTATTGGTGTTTCAATAACATTGGGTAGG